AGGAATTAAGGTGGCTGTGCTGCCCCGAGATCTGGGCTGCCTCTGTGGCAGACTTCTCCCAGGACTTGTCTGCTCCAGATCTAGTGTAAGCTGTGGTATGGAGTGGGCAGGGCCTAAGTGCCCTCACTGGAAAACAAACCATTGAGTACTCCTGCCCATGGCTTGTCTGCCCAAGATGCAGAGCTTAGCCACTGTGCCCTCTTGTGGTACTGCCCTGTGCATACACTGAAGATGTTCACTGCAGCCCCTCCCCACCTTGTGCACATGCTGACAATGGGCTCCAAGTTTCACCTGGATCACACCTCAGGTGCCCTAGTATGTCTCCACATAGCTAGACAAAATCTTTGCCCAGATCTTGTGCCAGGCTGTGGTGTGGAGTGAGCAGGGCCAGAGTGTTGTGCCTTGGAATTGATAAGTGCAGCGAAGCAGCAGCTGCCAGTGCAATGCTCTTTCTGCCCTGATTGTTAACAAGCCAGCATGTGTCCACTCCTCACAAATAAAAACCAGGCTTCTCCAGCCCTTCTGTCTGTCTCAGCAGATTTCCCAGCAGGCAAGAGGCCTTGCAGGCAAGACCCTAGGACTGGGATGCTCAGATTGTGGGTTGACCTGCTCACTTCCCAGAACGAGGGTCCCCCTGTGTGGACCTTCTCTTCCTTACAGATCCCTCCCAGGGGCTCAGGTCCAACCTGATGCCTTTTTTTCATCCTATCCAATTATGTGGAGATCTTTCCTGCAGCTTTTGTTATATAGGAGTTCTGTCAGTTTTTCCAGTTAGTTTTCCATGAGAATTGTTACATATGTAGATGTATTTTTGCTGTGTTTGTGGGGGGCAGGTGAGCTCCATGACCTCCTACTATGCCATCTTGATCCCCCTAATTCCTGAAGTCATTTTTATGAAAAGTAAATGGGAACTTTCCAAGTGTAATCTGTATTTAAGTTCATCTCAAAGCCCATATTTTAAAAGCCTTATTTTAATACAATGGAATATTATTCAGCCATAAAAAGAAATACTGCCATTTGCAGCAACATGAATGAAATTCAAGGGCATTATGATAACTGAAGTAAGTCAGACAGAGAAAGACAAACTTTGCATGGTCTTAAAATAATTCCACTATGTGGAATCTAAAAAAGTGGAACTAACTCATAGAAACAGAGTAGAATGGTTGTTGCCAGGTGCTGGGGGAAATGGGGAGACGTTGGTCAAAGAGTACAAACTTTCAGTTATAAGATGAATAAGTTCTGGGGATATAATGTACAGCAAGGTGACAACAGTTACCAATACTTTATTGTAAACTTAAAATCTGCTAAGAGAGTAGATCTTAAATGTTCTCACCACACACAAAAAATGGTAACTATGTGAGGTGATGGATGTGTTAACTAACCTTAATGTGGCAGTCGTTTCAGAATATATACATATATCAAATCATCGCATTGTACGCTTTACTCATACAAACTTCTTTGTCAATTATATCTCTGTAAAGCTGGGAGAAAACCCTTATTTTAAAAGATCTTGGGACTTCCCTGGTGGTCCAGTGGTTAAGATTCCATGCTTCCAATGCAGGGGGCCCAGGTTCGATCCCCGGTCAGGGAACTAAGATCCCACAGGCCACACAGCAAGGCCAAAATATTAAAAAAAATTTTTAAAGTAAAAGATCTTGTTTGTAGGGTCTACTAAATATATACTATTGCCACTACTATTGTCTGAATCTTTTTTCCTGAGATAGTCCAACCTCTGAAATAATTAGTTAAGCATCGGTGATCATCATGACCTTTTACAAGATTAAGAAGGAATATTATCTCCTAAGGAGGTCTAGTTAATGCAGATGCACAATACACACTAAAGGGGAGGGCAGAGGCCCAAATGGCCAGAGAAAATATTATGTTTAAATTTTTCTTGTCTTGCCATAAAGTATGGATTTTATTTCATCAATTTCCCCCTTTTGATCATTAATCTTTTGAAAGAAAGCAGTAAGAGACCAAATATTTGCTCCCTTGATGCCACGATGGTTGCTTACCTGCCCTGCGTCCATCATGTTCCTCACTGTCAGGTCTTAATAGCCCAGTGCTTTCTTTCCTTTCAGGGGATTGTACCAATAAGATGTTTGGCAAGGACTAGCAGTCAATTCCAAGTTGTCCAATAGGACTTATGCTAATTTTACCTTGCATGTGCATTGTGCATGTTCACTGATGTATAGAGTACTACAGATGTGATCAATAGTTTCAAGTTGTTTAGATATTGTCTTGGTAGGAGTAGGTGATATACAGTGTGTAAGGCAAGAATCTATAACTTTATAAGTTACACAAACAATAATCAAAATTGCCAATAAGAGTAACAATGTCACTAATAAAGGTTTAAGCCAAGATCCTCCTAAACCAAACCAAATTTCTAGTATTTCACCTAAACTGGGAAGAGGATCATTTAGAGTGGAAATTGATTCTTCATATGTGGCATAAGATGAGTTACATCAGAAGATATATCAGGTATAAAACCCAACATTCAGCATGGATTATAGCACAAGTTTCCCCTTGGGAAATAGAATATCAAGGGCCATGTGATTCTGTAGGATCACTTTTTCATCATGGAAACTTCCAAACTGAGCAAGCTGATAACTTGATTACTATCATTCAAAGCTGGCTGAGTACATTTTGTTAAAGCTTCTATGTGAGTAATAATATCTTCTCTTCCAAATGAAGGAAAAATATATCATGGCCAAATGATCATAGCATTGGAAAACTGATCAAACCCAGTGCACTTGCATTAAAGTCAGATTGGCAGGCCTACCCCTAGGTGACCTTGAGACCAAGGGGAACCAATTGTTCATCTTCCTAACCAACCTGGGGAGAGCCAAGGCCAAAATTTGTTCCATAAGTCCTGGGTCCTGTTAAGAGCCATCCAATATTTAACATCTAGTGAAAAGGAGTATTTATGGCCAGGTTCAGAACATGTGCCATTAACTGGCCAGGTAAGAGGGTCTCACTTAGTGATACTGGTGGCAGCAGTATCTTACAGAGTACTAGAGTTTCTTTCTTCTAAAATAAAATCTGTAAGGGCAATCCAATTAGAGCCTTGAAGAAGAGAAATCCACCAGTAACCAGTAACCCAGGAGTACTGTATGTGGCCCATCTCATCTGATCTTGGAGGCCAAACAGAATCGTGCCTGATTAGTACCTGTATGGGAGACTACCTGGGAACACAGGGTGCTGGATGTAGGCAATTGGCCACAAACCCAGCAACTGGATTGATTTTTGAAACTCACCTATGATTTCTTCCAAGGAAGAAATACATTTGGTTCATAAGCAAAAGCGTGAGCAATTATCAAAGTAATTAGTGTACAGGCCTGATCTGGGATCTTGTGTCAGCTGTCTATTTCAGACGTCCTGGTCTGGTAGTGTTGGTCTTAGTTAGTGGAAGTTGGGTGTCAGAAAAAGGAGCTGCAGTTCAGGAAAGGAGACCTGATATGGCTTCTTCCAATGTCTGTACAGAGTTCTTTATCTGATATGTTTTCCAGTATGCATAATCTCCTATCTGCACGTCATGAGGCATCTGATATTCATCCAAAGATAGATTGCTGTGATAAGCTTTAGAAACAAACTTAGACTATCCTTTTAATAATTCAATTAAACTTTACAACAATGTAACGTAGTAACGAGGAGCCAACTGGGAAGTGAGTTTTAGGCAGTAAATACAAGAAACCTCAAAGACAGCAACAGTAGAACTTAATGTCCACTGAAACGTTCACTTTTTTATCTCTAAAATACCCTAATTTCTACCAAATATGGCCAAATTAAGACTAATTTGTGGACTTCCCTGATGGCACAGTGGTTAAGAATCCACCTGCCAATGCAGAGGACGTAGGTTCAAGCCCTGGTCTGGGGAGATCCCACGTACCGCAGAGCAACTAAGCCCGTGCACCACAACTACTGAGCCTATGCTCTCTAGAGCCCACGAGCCACAACTACTGAGCCCATGTGCCACAACTACTGAAGCCCCCATGCCTAGAGCCCATGCTCTGCAACAACAGAAGCCACCATTATGAGAAGCCCGTGCACTACAAAGAGTAGCCCTCGCTCGCTGCAACTAGGGAGAGCACGCGTGCAGCAACGAAGACTCAACACAGCCATAAATAAATAAATAAGTAAACGAAAGTACATTTGTTAAAATCTTTAGGGGTTTCCCTTGTGGCGCAGTGGTTGGGAGTCCACCTGCCGATGCGGGGGACGCGTGTTCGTGCCCCGGTCCGGGAAGATCCCGCGTGCCGCGGAGCGGCTGGGCCCGTGGGCCATGGCCGCTGGGCCTGTGCGTCCGGAGCCTGTGCTCCGCAATGGGAGAGGCCGCGGCGGTGGGAGGCCCGCGTATCGCAAAAAAAAAAAAAAAAAAAAAAAAAAGACTAATTTGTTTGAAAAATATTCCTGACTTCAGTAAACTTGGTCTGATTATTTACATAAGTTGATCCTACAGGCTCTTTTATATTGGCTGCACTGCATGAAAAGACACTCACCACCACTAATTATTAGAGAAATGTAAATCAAAGCAACAATGAGGTACCACCTCACACCAGTCAGAATGGCCATCATTAAAAAGTCTACAAATAAGAAATGCTGGAGAGAGTGTGGAGAAAAGGGAACCTTCTTACACTGTTGGTGGCAATGTAAATTGGTGCAGCCACTATGGAAATTAGTATAGAGGTTCCTCAAGAAACTAAAAATAAAGTTGCCATACGATCCAGCAGTTCCACTCCTGGCCATATACCCAGACAAAACTATAATTCAAAAAGATACATGCGCGGGTGGGGCGGGGCAGAGGGCGGGGCAACTGAGGCGCTGCGTCACTCGGTGCAGTCGATGGTGCATGTGGGGGGCGGGGCGGGGGATTGGCTGGGCGCGTCCCCAGGTTCACGTGGTGTGCAGCACGCAGAGTCCTTCAGTCGGTTGGACCCGGAGCGGAGCAGCCGGAGCGGGGCTGTGAGTAGAATAAAGGCAGTCCCCACTGATGACTGAAAATGACAAAGCATCCACCTAACAGACAAGGAATCAGCTTTGAAGTGGGAGGCCAGTTGGAAGCCCGGGACCAATTAAAAAGCTGGTATCCAGCTCACATAGAAGATATTGATTACGAAGAAGGAAAAGTACTGATCCATTTCAAGCGTTGGAACCATCATTCTGATGAATGGTTCTGCTGGGAAAGTCCTTATTTACGCCCTTTAGAGAAAATACAGCTGAGGAAAGCGGGCTTACATGAAGAGGAAAGATCATCTGAATTTCAAATAAATGAGCAGGTCCTTGCTTGCTGGTCTGATTGTCGTTTTTACCCAGCCAAAATCACTGCTGTTAACAAGGATGGACCATTTTTATTAAAATGGTGACTGATCTCACTTAATATGGGGAAAATCAAGTCAAACTCATAGAAGAAAAAACTACAAGGATATACTGTACAGCACAGGTACTTACACTGTGAAATTTTATGATGGAGTAGTTCAGACTGTCAAACATATTCATGTCAAAGCTTTTTCGAAAGATCAGAATATTGTGGGTAATGCTAGGCCTAAAGAAACAGAACACAAAAAGTCTTTCATCATCTCCTGATAAAAGACAGAAGTTTAAAGAGCAGAGAAAAGCCACAGCCAATGTGAAGAAAGACAAAGAGGACAAAGCCTTAAAGACAGAAAAGAGACCCAAACAGCCTGATAAAGAAGGAAAGTTAATCTGTTCTGAAAAGGGGAAGGTGTCAGAGAAGCCTTCCCAAGAACAAGAAGGAAGATAAAGAGAACATTTCAGAAAATGACAGAGAGTATTCTGGAGATGCTCAAGTGGATAAGAAACCTGAAAATGACATTGTGAAGAGTCCACAAGAAAACTTGAGGGAGCCAAAAAGAAAGCGAGGCAGACCCCCTTCCATAGCTCCTACTGCTGTGGATTCAAACTCTCAAACTTTGCAACCAATAACATTGGAATTGAGAAGACGGAAGATATCAAAAAGAAGTGAAGTCGCATTAAAACGTCCTCGGCTTGACAAAAATTCATCCCAGGAAAAGTAAAAAAACTACTCGGAAAACACTGACAAAGTCCTATCAAGGAGACGGTCCTCCAGGCTGTCCACTAGTGGGACCCACGAGATCCTAGATCCTGACTTGGTTGTATCAGATTTGGTTGATACGGTTACTACTGATGCTTTGCAAAACACATCATCTGGTACCAAGGAGTCTGAAGAAGAAGCCGGGAACATCCTGATCTGCAGCTGTGGTGTCAGCCTTGGAAACAGCATCTGGCGGAGGGGAGATCTCATTCCAAACACATCCATGTCACTGAAGCCAAGAGCAGGGAGGAAGCCCCAAGCTATAGAACTTTGAACGAGGCGGTGGAGAAGCCTCTGCCCCTGCCCTTGCCCCGGTCTGTGGAGGAGTCATATATCACCAGCAAGCACTGCTACCAGAAGCCCCGCACCTACTACCCTGCTGTGGAACAGAAGCTGGTGGTGGAGACCCGGTGCTCTGCCCTTGACGATGCAGTCAACCCCCTCCACGAGAATGGTGACGATTCCCACTCTCCGCGCCTGGGCTGGCCTCTAGAACAAGACAGGAGCAGAGGGGACAGTGACCCCAAACCCAGCTCCCCAAAGGTGAGGGAATATGTCTCCAGAAAGGCCCTACCTGAGGAAGCCCCGGCTCGGAAGCTGCTGGACAGAGGCGGAGAGGGGTTGCTGAGCTCCCAGCACCAGTGGCAGTTTAACCTGCTGACGCATGTGGAGTCTCTTCAGGACGAAGTTACGCATAGGATGGACTCCATTGAGAAGGAGCTGGACATGTTGGAGAGCTGGCTGGACTACACTGGGGAGCTGGAGCCCCCGGAGCCTCTGGCCAGGCTTCCGCAGCTCAAGCATTGCATCAAGCAGCTGCTGATGGACCTGGGCAAGGTGCAACAGATCGCACTCTGCTGCTCAGCATGAAACTGGGCACCCCCACACTAATGGGGGAACAATCCTGGAGCACGTGCAGGAGGAGCTTCACGTATTTAAATAAATAAACCTAGCATGCCAAATGCACGTGACACTGACCGACTTCAGGGGTCTGGGCAGGGGTGTGATGGACTTGGACAAAGAGGCCGTTTTGGCTGCTGGAAGGGAGGGCACCCTGATCTTGAAGCCTACCAAGAAGGTAGCAAATAGACTCTTGGAATTCCCTTCTTCTGTGCACATTGTTGAATGGAGAGTGAGTCTTTTTGCACAAACTTCACTTGAAATCGTGCCACTGATGATAAATGGAATGAGAGCCAAAAATGTTTAGTCGGAAACAGTTGTAAATTCAACTTGCAGCTTATTTAATTGACTTTTCTGTCAGGTTGGGGCACATGCCAAGCCTTCTGGTTTTCTGCCTGGCAAGGATTTAGGCAGCAGGCATCATTTTCATTTTTCCAGCTTCGTGGGAAGGTCGTGACTTCACCATTCTGTGGAGGTTGGGAAGGAGCAGAGGCCTTGGCCACCCTGCCTTCTTAGAACTCTTCACTTTCTCACCACCTCTGTTGCATGACTTCATGGTACCGGGGACAAGTTTTGTATGCTTTCACCCCAGAATTGGCTGGGTTGTGTCTTTTGTAGCAGAACCCATACAGCCCGTGGAAGAACTAGAATCTCACTGTAATAAGAATATAGGAGGAATTCCAAACTGACGCAGGCAGGGTCTGGAACCCAAAGGACAGCACTTTCTACCCACTTCTTGACAGCTTACCAGTTCTATTTAATGTCCAACAAATGGTTCCCCCAAATTTGAACTCTCACTGTAAAGATTTGTTACAAAGAATGTGGTTTGGGGAATTACCTTACTTTGTATTGTTGTAAACAAACCAGATTCTACATCTGCTGCCGCTTTTCTCCTTCCCCGAAGGGTATATGTTCAGTAGTTGGCATTTTCAGAATTGTTTTAATATACTTTAACACTTTAAATTTCCTGTTCGTATTATTTTGTGAGATCAAGGTGATTATGCTGCTTAAGGTCCAGGTACAGTTTGTACCTTTTGAGACAATATTTGTTACTCTTCCAGGTTACGGTTCCACATGTAATTGTTTTGTTTTTCCTTACTAGGCAAAGTTAAAGAAAATGTTCCATGCTTTGAGGAGTGACCCGTTTTACCATTTAGTTTTCCTATCACTAAAGGCAAAAATCAAAGCACATCTATCCATTAACACTCACAAGTTAATTATGGGTTTATGAATCTGTAATGTTATATGCTGCAAATATTTACTATGTAAACGTGAAGTAGCCAATATCTCAATAGCAATGACAGTATCTCCGGTGACCTTTGGGATGGTTAGGCTTTAAGGTACAGGTCATTGCGGTCACAAAGCCCTCTGTACCAAGATCTGTTTCAGGGTATGCTTTGTCTAGTAATTTAACTCACCATTTGATATAAAATGAATTTAGGACAAGTTGACCTGCTGTAGCTCATCCATCAGAGGGAATATATGTGGCTATGACATCTGTAATAAAGCTGACACAATTCCTCTGTAAGAGGTTGTTTCCCATTGCTAATGTTGGTGTTTCTGGTGTGGGAAGAAACGCTCAAGGAGTATGCATGGCATCTATGTTTAGCATAATTTATCAGACGGCCACATTATAAGAACTGTGTGAAGCTTGTCTGAAAGGGGAAGAAACAGGATGATTTTCCGTAGCCACAACTGTGAGGTACGGTGACTTATTAGATTACTGATTTTTCTTTCCTGAAAACACATTTGAGCATAACTTCTGGGGAAGCTGTAACTTTAAGGGAGTCAGTCTCATGTCTTTTTCAAGTTGAAAGAAGAAACTGAGTTACCCTAATTTTGCCAAGTGGCCATTATTGAGTTTACTGTATGCTTTTTGTAAAGGAAATAATCCCATTTCACTCATTGTGACCTTTGTCCTTAGGGAAGCAGGGGGTGACTCCAAGTTCTGATAACCCCAGTGTGCTTCGCTAATTTAAAGCTATGTTGAGGGGCTCCATCCCCAATTCCTGGGTCAAGTTGAATTAACCCCAGGCTGGAGCACTGGAAACTGTTATTTGCAAATATTACTGTTAATTAATGTTACCATTTAGAAATATGTACACTACCTAAGTTTTCTTTTGAGAAAAACTATCCACCTATTAAAAAAATTGCCTTGGGCTTCCCTGGTGGCGCAGTGGTTGAGAGTTCGCCTGCCGATGCAGGGGACACGGGTTCGTGCCCCGGTCCAGGAAGATCTGCGGCAGGGCCCGTGAGCCATGGCCGCTGAGCCTGCGCATCCAGAGCCTGTGCTCTGCAACGGGAGAGGCCACAACAGTGAGAGGCCCGCGTACCACAAAAAAAAAAAAAATTGCCTTGACAAAAGAAAGAACAAAAAAGATACATGCACCCCTATGTTCATAGCAGCACTATTCACAATAGCCAAGACATGGAAACAACCTAAATGCCCATCGACAGATTAATGGATAAAGAAAATGTGGTATATATATATATATATATATATATATATATATATATATATA